CCAACAAAAACTAAAAAAAAAAAAAAAAAACCCTTGAAACAAGATCTTTCCTTTTGCTATCACTAGCAGCAACTCTGTCTTCAAGTTCTGAAAGTCTATATTCAGTTTAACTTAAGAGGTTTTGCCAGCTTTCAATGGAATTCTTAAGTTTTGGATATCTGTTTGTATCTGATTCATGTATTTTAATTTTTTCCTGTATTGTTTATTCAGTGTTTCCATAATTTTTCTATTCTCCATTTTTTTTCATCTATGTCTTTATTTTTATTTTTTTATTTTTTTCATCTGTGTCTTTAGATGCACTGAGAAGTTCTTTCATTAGTGTTGTCATTTCTTTTTTTACCTGACAGGTGATTTCTGATCTGATTTATTTATTTTTTTTATTTTAGGGAAGGGTCTACAGGGTGTTCAGGGTCTCACTACTAGATTACACTTGTAGTGATCTGCCCATTTACAGCCACCCAAGAACTGGGATTGCAGGCAAGCTACCATGCCCAGTCTCTGTGCTCTAGGGGTGGGGCCAGCAAGGCAGGCCCAGGGATTGAACCCCAGCCCCTGCGCCTGCTTGCAGGGGCTGTAATCCGTGGAGCTATTTGGCTGGCCCTCTGATTTCTTCTATATCCTGGTGGGGTTCTTTCTTTACCTCATTTACTATCATTTTAGAAATTTTAGGTGTCTTCTGTGTCCTTGTCTCTTGGCCTTGTTCTGGGTTTGCTGGAGATCTGAGATTGCCTTTTACTTCTTCCTTTTGACATTTTTGAAGCCTCAGTAAGAGGAACTGACCTGAGTTAGCAAGGCTTCCAAAACAGTGTGTGTGGTGGGGGAGGCAGGATAGGCTCATCAAAGCTCCAGCTGTCCGTGGTTCAGTGTGACTTCCAAGACAGTTTGTGTATGGGGTGCTCAGGAAGGCTCCAAAGATGATAGGAGGCAGGCTGAAGTTCTGTAAGGCTCCTTTGATGGTGGGGGCAGGGTAGGGCTCACCAGGACTCCCTTGAAGCTGAGTGGAGCATAGTTCAGCAAAGCTCCTGCTTCAGTGGGCCAGGCAGGGCTCACCTGGGCCCCATAGCTGTCTGGCTTAGCCTGTCTTTTGCAGAGTTTGCGGGGGAGGAGGGTTGTGCAAAGCAAAGCTCCTGTGATGGTTCTTTTAATCATTTCTAAAGAGTATTTCATTCTTGAACCTTTTACAGACTCCAGCCTATGTCCAATTCTGCCCAATTCATGAGTTCAGAGGAAAGAATAATAGTAATAGATATTATTTTCTGTGGCTGTTACTGCTCCAAATGCTTGTATGGGTTAATTTATAATCCTCAGAAAAGCCCTGTGAGGTAGATGCTTTTGTTGCTCTTTTCGTATTTCATATGAGAAAATTATAGCATAGAAAGGCTGATAAGCTTGTACCAAACACGCAATGCAAGCTGTTTGGTTTTCGTCTGTATTCTTTACTGTTGCACAAGTCTCCAAAGTAGTTTTTTCAGTTCCGTGTCTCAGGGAGAACCATGGTGCTTTGTTACCCTTGAAACTGCTTTTGAAGCTGGCTGGCCAGAATCCGTCTTATTCAAGAGTAATCACTATAGTATTTTTAGCCCTTGGCACCAACATGCTGTTTGCTTTAGAGTGAACTTCTTTTATCATCACCAAATAAAATATTGATGGACTATAAATTTGCCTGGGTGGGAGAAATTTGGGAAGAAGATAAACTTTGAATGGAGAATTATAGGCAGACTTGGTAGGTTTCATGTTTTATAAATAAATAGTAAGTTAGTAAAATCCTAACTTGATACAGAAAGAGAAGATTGAATAAAGGTGACTTGTTAGAAATGATCTTAGTACTGCTTAGGTAAGTTTTTTTTTTTAAATCGTATTTAATAAAGTGTTGTTAGCTGATGGTCTTACCCTGCTGAGTGCTTTGCAAGGCCCTACAAACCTTCTATTTGGTGTCTTCAGTAACATTTATGACCCATGATTGAGGAAGATTATTCAGGATAGAATCAAGTAACAACAAATGTGACAGTCTAGTGATGTCCAGTGTGTTTTTTTTCCGTGCCATTGGACTTTGGGCATTGTTTAATCATGTGGAATTTTATTCTCCTGTGTGTTGGACATACACATCTGGATATTTATATTGCATTTCCTGTGTCCATTTAATTTGGTAGTGAATGGGCTTTGTCTTAGCATGGAATGCAGGAGGAGTGAGGGAAAAACTTAAGTTGTGTTAGGAGCAGATGATAAAAAATGAAATTTTTTAAGACAAAAGGATAGTGCAATAATTGAAAAAGTCTTCCTTTACTAAATGAAAAAATCTTTTTAAAAATACTATTTTGAAATTTTGATTTGGTCAGATTTCTTTCTTAGTATATTTGCAAGTTAGAAGTAGTTCATATATTTTACTTTTTTACATTTTAGGAGACCAGCTTTGAATCTAGATGTTCTCGGTCCAAATTAAAGAAAACAACCAAAAATTCTCAGCAAGTGATAGGATCTATCCATGCCCAAAGTTTTGTGCAAAGATTCCGAGAGGCCAAGACTTTTATACAACTTTCTCAAGAAATCCAAATGGCAGTTGTGTGGTGCAGAACGAAAAAACTGAAGGCTCAGGCCACATTTCTGGGTAACAAACTTCTTAAAAGTAACCGACTTAAACATGTAGAAGCTCTAGGTTATAGGTAAGTATATTACAAAAATTATGTATATATTCAGGTTTCTTTAAAAAAGAGATGTCTGGCAGGGCTTTAGGTACTAATGTGAGATCTATTCAAAGTGTTATTTCATCTGTTGATACTGTTTTATGGGCAAAGATAATCCTTGAGAAGAAGAAAGTAAATTTAGGTGAATTGGACTTCATTTATCCTCTTTATCATTCCCATTTGTTTATTCAGGAAGCAGTAAGAATGTTTTAGTGTACTAAGCCTGGAGGTACAACTATGAGACAGACTTAGTTCTTGGGAAGCTCCTACTCCAGTGGGAGAGGTGGCTGTTGTGCACCATGTCATCGTGGATGCAGAAGGCCTATGCTGTACCACCAGGACCAGTGTTAGATTTGATATTTGTAGAAGCTAAACTCTTCATGTATAGACATCTTCCTTTTCTTGTGATTCTTAAATTTATTTTTATTGAAAGAGTAATAGATGGCAGTGGTAACAATTTCAGAAGGAAACATAAACATCCTTATTTTGCTCTTTCAAAGGCAGTCATTTGTTTGAATCAACTTTTTTATGTATCCATCAGACATTGTTCTATATGTGTACCATAGTCTTTTTTTTTTTTTTTTTTTTTTTTTTTTTTATCCTGTATTTTAGGGAAGGGTTTACAGGGTATTTAGGGTCTCACTACTAGATCGCACTCACAGTGATTCTCCTGTTTACAGCCTCCCAAGTGCTGGGATTAAAGGTGTGTCCACCATGCCCAGTCTCAGTCTCCATCTCAGCACACCCCCAGTCGAGGCCCAGGGATGAACCCTCTGCCCCTGTGCCTGCCTGCAGGCACTTTAATCCGCTGAGCTGTTTGGCTGGCCCTAATAATCTCTTATTGGTAGGGCTTTATACTGGTTCCTGTGGGTGAACCATTATAACTGTCAAAAATTTGATTTTTTGTTTTTTTTTTTTCAGAACCAGGGATTGAACTCAGGCCCTTGCACTTGCCAGGGAAGCGCTTATTCCACTGAGCCATCTCCCCAGCCCCAAAAATTTGATTTTTAAAAACTATGGAAAATACATTTTTATTTCAGAAAAAAAAAAAAAAAAATCGGTGCACAATGGAGGCCTTGTTGCAAGTTTTACCAAGAGCTGTAGGAAAAGCTGTTGCATACAGCTAAGCAGTGGATTCCTGGAGGGATTTTCATACTGTGATCCCCTGGAAGCCTGTAGTCACTTAAAAGAGACCTATGCTAGGCTGGAAATTTAGGCATTTGTTCAAGGCAAAGATAAAGTAAAGATGAAAATGATTAAGTCAGTGAAGGCATAAAAACTTGTTTATTGATAGTATCATTAGCCTATACCTCCCAAAATAGTGTTTTTACATTAATATTTTTGTAGTATACTCTATAATTTTTTAATGTATACAGTAATTCTGTGAGGTAGGTAGTGTTCTTATTTTGTAGATGAGCAAATGGTGGATTTTTCTCAAGGTGTTTGGAGATCTAAAACTCAAGTCCTCTAGGGGCCAGGGAGACAGCTCAGTGGAATAAGCGCTTCCCTGGCAAGCACAAGGGCCTGAGTTCAATCCCCGGTTCCGCAAAAAAAAAAAGGTCCTGTGATTTCTGCATTCATTCATGCTCTTCTCATTTCAATTCAGATGTACACACCCACCTTCTCCCCACTGAAAAGTCACTGCTTATAACAGAAAGATGGTTTGGAAACTGAGATTATGTGTTGCTTCAGTATGATGGACCATGTCAGATTTTTATTTTTAAAAAGGAGAGGGAAGTGATAGGGAGCATGGACCTACATTAATCTTTTAAAATTTCACAAAGTGAGGCATCTTCAGCATAGCACCAGTGAACCATGTGCTAGTACATCCTATGTGGAGGGGAAAATATATATATGTATAATCACTACAAAATGGGACCATTTGTAACTGTCCTACTAACCTGTTTTGAAACTATTTCATTGCTATTTTTTCTCATTAAAATGAATAAAAAATTTTAAAAATGAAAAAAACCTAAAATAATCAGCTGTTTGTGTTTGCTACACTTAAGTATGATGTATGAATTACACTGTAGCTGAAAGCTGTCCATTTGTGCCATAAGTCCAGGGGGCCTGCCCCATAGCTCAGTTCTTTAAGTGGCTGCTTCAACAAAGCAGTCAGGCTCAGGTTGCTTGGGTTCGATCCCCACAACACAATACAGCCAGTCATGCCTTGAAGGCATTCCGAGCAAAACAAAAGCAAAACAAACAAACAAAAAAAAAAACCACGTAAGTCCTATGTTACTGTTTTAGGAGAGGTTCATTTTTTTAGGAGAGGTTTATTTTATTTATTTATTTATTATATGTATTTGGTACAGGGTCTTCTTATGTAGATTGGACTTGTAGTGATTCTGTTTTCACCCTCCCAAACCTTGGGATTATTGGCACGCGCCACCATGCTCTCAGTCACCATCTCAGTGTGCCCCCAGGGTCAGGGCCAGCATGGCACACAGAGGAGAGAACCTTGGCTGCGGCACTCTGCCTTTGCAAATTATTATTTTTTTTTTTTTTAGGAGAGGTTTATTTACTTTATTTTTTTTTTTGGTGATAGTGAACCCAGGGCTTCTAGCTTGCCAGGCAAGCATTCTACTGCTGAGTCTAATCCCGAGCCTCCAAATGCTTTTTATTTTTTTGGTACAGGGAATTGAACTCAGGACCTTTCACTTGCCACACAGGCGCTGTGGCACTGAGCCATATCACTGACCCTTCTGTTTTATAAATTCCCTCTTCACTAATATTTTTTTCCTTGTTCATTCCTGCCACACAAATTACATACCAAGAAATGGATTATTATACACTGACAATTTTTAAAATTTGTGGTGTTTCCCCATTTCTACTTCCCCATTTCTGTTACATTATGAATAGGTTATCTGATATGAGGGAAAACTAGTCCTGAAATACAGAGGTGTTTTTAGAAGTTGGTTAACTTTGAGGGCAAAATGGAGACACTTTGACCTTCAACCTGAATCAGGGGGAAGTTATGGTTTGAGAACACAGATTTTGTTTGAAGCTGTTTCCTTATTTTTTGTTATGATCCTAGAATTATACACACGCATAAGACCTGTAAGTAAATTGTGTATTTTCTGTTGGAAGTTGATTAAAAAAACCAGGTACAATAGTGATGGACAAGTTTTTGGCATTTTAATAAACTCATGTTTTGTTTTCTCTGTCCTTTAGTTTGCCAAAGAAACTAGAATGCATAAAAACATCTATTTGCAACTGCCTTCTTTATGGCTCAGGTATCAAAACTTCAAAGCATCATCTGAGACGAAGATCACAGAATAAACTTTTACTAAGAAAAAGGAAACCGCAGAGAAAGTGGCAGTCAACTCTTTTAAAGGAAATTCAGCAGCTTCCTCAAGAACCTCTGAAAAGTGCTGTGGACACCAGTACTAAGTTGGGTCTCTCACACTGCACAATTCAGAGAACTGATCGCTACCCAAACAGTAAGCAGCTACTGAGTAGCAGACTTTCAAATCCTGCCACACTGATTAAGGAGAATCAGATTCATGGACATCTCACAAGAAGTAGTGAAAGTCAAACTAATTCATGGACAAAGGTGCACATAAACAGACAAAAAACACCAGAACCTGTTAAAGAGACAGATGACATTGATGACATTTTTGCTTTAATGGGAGTGTAGTTGTTTACATGTGGGACTTTCAAGCAGTTAACAAACTGGTCCATGGTTGTGTTTTAAGGGGTGTTGCTGAGATCTTGGAATACTGCTATGCTCAGAGAGGAGCTGCTTCCATGCAATATCCCAGTTCATTTTGGTTCAATAAACATTTCTGGTAGCTTTGCATCATTTCATTTGGCTTTGACTTTGTCAGGTGTTAAGATACAAGGTGTCATACAATGTCTTTGAGAAATAGATGCACTTCCTTAACTGAGACTGGTAGGTCCCAGAAAAACTGAAAAATTTTGTAATTTATTGGTGAATTAGGACCTAAGAATTCAGTTTGCCAAAAGCCTCTGTGCCTTAGACAGGAAGTGAGGTGGGGGAGTAGCAAGGAGACACCTCAAAGGGTGGCTTTACTTCATTGGCACCACTCCTGTGTTTACCTGTGTGAAGGTGGGTGATTCCAGTGTGAAATGAATGGTGCATCTCCAACAAATAACCACTTCGTTGATTCACAAACCAAATTTTATCAAGAATAATTTTTAATATTCAGTTAAGGACTCAAGATTATATGTATATGAGCTTTTATTCTTCTAACCTGTTTAACAGAAACAGCTTTTTACTTGTCTATTTTAACATTAGAAAAATACATGGTAGAGATCAAGATAAAAGTCCAATAAAATGACAAACCTTTCTCTACACAGTAGTAATAGGTTTTGTTTTTTCTGTGTGCTCCTGTAAGTTTATTAAAACAGGAAAGTTCACTTGGGAATATCAGTGTTTGTAGCCTCTGATGGGTACTATCATCAAAAGAACTTGAGTTTTGCTACTAATTATATTACCAGAGATTGGTTAAAACCACTTTCTCTTAATTTGTTCACCTTCTATCAGGACATGTTGAATGTCTTCTAATGATGCTAAGTTTGATATATATTTTAAATGTCCTAACTTTAGTAGAATTATGTGAATAAGTTTCCATAACAGTTGTCTTAACTTTTATGTTGTTACAGACTTGAAGAAAATAGTACTTAGTATATAAAGCATCCTTTTCTTTGGCAATTTTATAAGCCTTTGCCCTTTCTGCCTGCTTTATGTATTTTCCCACTTACCTATCCCAGTGGTTCTTGAAGTGGTACACAGTCAAATTGTCAGTTGTTTAAAAAGATTCCAAGCCTCTCCTCAGAGATTGGTAAACATGAACTAGGGCATGAGACTAAGTCTACATATTTATTTTAACAAGGAATCCAGGTGATTTTGATGCAGGTGACCTCAAATCCAGAGTTAACGTGAAAAGTGGTTCAGCTTCTCTCCTGCAGCATTGTCAGACATCCTGTTTTCGGCAGTTTGTAATCTCCAGATCTAAAATCGGAAACTTCTGAGCACAAACTGTTTGAAATGTTACAGATTTTGGGACATTTCTCTGATTTTAAATTTGGGATGGTCAATCAGTGAAGCCTATGTTGATATTCCAAAATTTGAAACACTTCTGGTCTCAAGAATCTTGGATAAAAAATAAACATAGTATTAGGTGCTCAAGTTGTTTCAAATTTTAGTATATATGATCTGCTTAAAAAAAAAGAAAAAAAAACCTTGGTCTTCCTATTTCTTATCTTCCTAACTTAAATCCTGTGTTTACCTGAAGGTGGGTGATTCCAGTGTGAAATGAATGGTGCATCTCCAACAAATGATCACTTTGTTGATTCACAAACCAAATTTTATCAAGAATAATTTTTAATATTCAAATAAGGACTCAAGATTAATTATAGGTATATATATATAAGCTTTTATTCTTCTAACCTGTTTAACAGAGAAACAGCTTTTTACTTGTCTATTTTAACATTAGAAAAATACATGGTAGACATCAAGATAAAAGTCCAATAAAATGACAAACCTTTCTCTACACAGTAGTAATAGGTTTTGTTTTCTTTTTCTATGTGCTCTTGTAAGTTTATTAAAACAGAAAAACCGATGAGTATGTGTTACAATGAGCAGCATAATTCAGTTACACCCAGGCACAAATTCATCTTGCTTTGGGAAGATGCAGGTCTTAAAACTCAAGTGATCCCTGTGCAAACATTAGAAACACAGCATTTAAAATAATGCTGAAATCCTTCCAGGTGTTTAACTCCAATCGGAAAAGAATTTTGAAATGTCATCTGAAGTTGGAGCTGTTAAGATTTGTTGTTATATTTACTATAAAACATTTCAACAGATGGATTCCAGAATAGGTGAGAGCACTGTGGGAAAAGGAAAAAAACATAGTAGCAGGTCATCTACCTTAAAGTTATTTGCAAACTCTTACGAAGCACAGTATTTTATTTTGTTCTACTTTTCTTTCTTTCCCAAACCTTTTATAATATTTTAAAATCCAGTAATTCGAAATATTGGGTTTATTTTCTTATTTATCTGTGTATCTTATGTCTGGCTGCCAACTCATCCAACCTAACAAACCACCCCTCTCCACCCACCCACCCACCCATCCACCCATCTATCCATCCATCCATCCATCCATCCATCCATCCATCCATCCATCCATCCATCCATCTGAGTTTTACCACCTTGTCTCAGACATGACTATACTATAGCTCTATATGCAGGTAAGAATATCTCCTGTTGTATTGCTGATTCCCTTAATAAAGTACAGCATTTTAGATTTTTTTGGCCAAAGCCAAAATAAAGCCGAACAAAATACCCAATAATGATTCTTATAATTGAAGTTATAAAATTTAAAGGAGAGATACAAGTTAGATGGTTCACACACTAAGTATGGCACTGTGAATTTGTAATATTTATATCAGCTCAAAATTTTCTCTGTCCTCATCTGCTTGGAATTCTACATAAAAATACCACAGAAGACATTATATTGTGCTACCTCTTACATATCATTTATTAAGCATCAGTCTTTAAGGTGCCCTTCATCATTTGTACTTTTCTAACTTGCTGAACCAAGGTCTGACATGAAGTTCAACACTTAAAAATAAACTTCAGGGCTGGTGAGATGGCTCAGTGGTCTAGGGCACCTCCTTGGAACAAACTTAGCAAAGTACAGGGACTGCAGTTCAATCCCCCAGCACCACATGCCAGCCAGCCCTGCCCCCTGGTAGGCTGAGCTGGCCACACACACACACACACACACACACACACACAATTTAAAAACAACAACAAAAAAAAAACTTCAAGGGCCAGTGAGATAGCTTAGGCAAACACAGGGACCAGGGTTAGATCCCCAGCACCACATGCCACACTGGCCACCAAGTCCAGGCGTCCTGGTGCACACCTGTAATCGCAGTCCTAGCAAGGCTGAAAACAGGAGGACCACTAGGATTCAGAGCTGTGTAGTGAGACCCTGAACCAAATACATAAAAAAAATTAAAAAACCCTTCATCTGTCTCCTATCCTGAGCATACATGAAGAGAATGAGACACAATTTATAGTAACCATTTGTGAATAGATCAAGCTCCATTCAGGATGGATGGTCTGCCAGTGATGACGAATCTTTTGGAACTTTTAGTAGAACAGCCCACTGCAGCATGCTTACCGTAGGCTTACCACCACTGGCCTAGGATCTGGTTATGCAAGTAACAACAGAAAGACACGTTACTATTTTCTGCATGGAGCTTTAAGAGCTAAAGTATATTTCTATATTGACTGTAACAATTAATGAAGCTCTTGAATGCAAGTGCACTTCCTATCTCTCAGTTCTTAAGACTTTATTAATGCTACCTACGTGGCCTGCAGTGCCTTTGATCACCAATGGTGAGTGTGGTGACAGCAGTGACTCGACGGTTATGAGCACAGAAAGCTGGCACATCTAAAGGAGGAAATGCCCCTAAAAAGTACCAGCTAACTGATAACCTGGGTCATAAGTTTGATCCTCCACTTACTGACACCAACCATTTTGTGCCTAATGTGTAGATTACCAGTCACAATACATTTTCCTTATTCCTTCTTGTGATCACATTTTCCAGTGAAATAAAAGGGAAGATAAAAGAAGTCACTCTGAATTGGCAGCCAGGAAACAGAGAAGCTAGTATGAAAACCATGGCTGTCTAATCCACTGCTGTTTCTATTTTGGCAAACACCACTGCAACTCAATTTCTCCAACTTACAACCTTATCTGCGAACAAGTTTATCATGAAGATCAATTAATTGTTTTCAATGATCCAGTGCTATAGCCTTTCTGAAGACCATTTGTTTTCAGATGGCTCTAGCTATATAGTAGTGTGGGACCACTGCCTTAACGTTCCCCAGTCTTAAGCACTTTATTTTCACTGACAAAGTCCAAGGAAAATCTTTCCCAACCATGTGGTACTATTAATTCAAAGCCAGTAGATGGTCAACTAAAACTTACAATTTTTGCAAACAATGCTGCTGTTTAGCCATAGCTTCTTACATGTTTGTGTTACCTTTTTAGCTGAAGTCTCATGCTTCCTCTTTACTAAAACAGTTAAAATGAAGAGCTTTTATACAATTTTATTTAAAACTATTAAACAATTGTTTTTATACGATAATGATCAGGGCCCTAAGTACAATTAGAATTTTACTCCCACCACGAGCGAATTTCCATTGTATGTGTGGGACAAAGACAAATGAACAGGATAGACACCAGAATGTAAGTTGAAGAAGAGTGTTTTGTAGGAAAAAGGGATTCTGAGAGGCATATTCACAATTACAGTGTAAGTGTGATACAGATTGAAAGAACCTAAAATGATTTGTTAGAGAACAGTTTTATATATAAGAAAGTATTGCCTAGTTTTTTTCCCCTCTCCTTATAGCAGCTAGCATAGTGCCTTCCACAGAGAAGTCTGAGTGAGGAAATCAGAGAGGAGTAGGGCTCTACCTCTGCTATAGAACTGATGTACACATGATATACAGTGAAAGTATATACCTATGTTTTCTCCCCCACTTCCCCCGCCCCTGGTACCACGGATCGAACTCAGGAACTTGCACTTGCCAGGTAGGCACTTATGCCACTGAGCTATATCCCCAGCCCTCACCTATGTTTTCTTATAAAACCTGATCATAAACTCAAAAATTACCAGCTCAGGAAAAAAACATTTTGTCTGCTACCATTATGAAATCCAGTTTCAAAACAGGTTAGACAATTAGAATAGTTGATAT